GCTGGGATTACAGGCATGAGCCACCATACCCAGCCTGGAGATAGTATTAAGAAAAAAGAAAAGTAACTATGCATTTTCCAAGCATTTTCAAACATGGCAGGAAACCAAAGTGCTCGGGGTAAACAATAAGCTGCTTCTGTCTCCAAGCCAGTTCTGGGGCCATCCCTGGGGTGTGGCCACAGGAGAGCGGGGCTCTGGGCGCGGCTCTGAGCTGGCCCCACTGAGTCAGCGAGGGGCCTGGCCCAGGGGACACTGGCCATTTCCGGTTCAGGCTGGCGCTGGTCTGTGGAGACAGTTAGAAAGAAAACAGCCCTGGGTTCCAGCACCTGTGTGGTTATCACAAATGACAGCTGGAGGAGAAGGGATTTTTTTTTGTCTTGATGGAAAACCTGGGCTGGGGTAGAAGATGGAGCAGTCCGGAGACCAGACACACGCTCAGAAGACGGAACCTGGGTCCAACGCCACTGGTCTGGGAGACCAACCAGTCCCTGGGGCGGTCCCTGTGGGCACAGCTGGAGGCACGGCCTCCCCGGGAGTGGACGGTGCAGATGCCCTTTAGGAGAAGCTTCTAGAACCTGAGCTCCAGGCCTGAGCCGTCTCCTCAGAAAGGGAGACCTTAAATAGAATCACAGGGAATGTGCAGGGCGAATCGAGGAAGCTGAAGTGTCATGGAGAAGTGTGTGGTTTCCAGCACTGAGCGTGCTGGAAAATGTGGTGTAGACGGAGGGAAAAGGCAAGACCAGGGAGGGAAGAGGAGGGCGCTAACGTCTGTGGAAGAATGAGATGCCCACACTGTCGGGCACCTGTCCAAAACCACCTCCTTACGTCCTCCTGGCACCGGGGTGTGGCATCGGCAGCCCACCGCGGGGGCAGCAGAGGCAGAAGGGGGGTCTGCTCAGGCTGAGCCCTGCGGCCGGGAGCCAGGAGCTGGGCACGCTTCCCCTGCCCCAGGCACAGCTTGTCTCGCTAGACCACATGGCCTCCAAAATGAAGTCTCCCTTCACCTACCATCCAATATCCCGCAGAACTGCCCCTGGGAGGGCTGCAAGCTTGTGCTGGGCAGGGCCCAACCGGGCAGAGGAGGCCCACTCCAAGTCCTGCTATGTCACAAGGGGGTGAAGGGGCTGCACGAAGCCAAAGGGATCCCAGAGGTCAACCACTAGGCCAGAGAGACAAAGGGGGAAGGATTGTCACCAGACCCCGCTTGGGGGATGCTAAGCAGCAGGAACTGGAGCCACAACTGCTGCAGAAGACCCCACCCAGGGCGGACAGGCTGTCAGAGGAACCCAGACTTCCTCTTGCCTCTGCCCTGTGCACCTACCGCTGGCCCCGCCAGAAGCCAGCACAGGGGAGCCTGGGCCATGTGCAGGGCTCGGCCCTCCTGTGACCCAGGGCAGAGCAGGGGACAGGGTGGAACAGACGTGAGGCCCCCAGGCCAGAGCCTCACAGGCTGTCCACTGAAGACTGTGAATGTCCCTCTGGACACCAGCTCCCTTTGCCCTGATTCTAGGCCTAAGAGCAACTGGCCAAGCTGCAATTTGGTCTCCAGGGACCAGCCTTGCAGGAAGGACAGGCTACTGGCACAGACAAGAAGGCCTGGTGTTGGCTGCCTGCCGGGTCGGCACCACACATTGCCAACTGGGGCTAAGAGCTGTCTCCTGGAATTGGTTGGCTTAGACCCCTGCCCTGTGCCTTCCCCATCCTGAGTCCTGCACAGCTCAGGCTGCTGGGTGGTGACCCTTCTTGGCTCTGCAGTGCCACAGGTGAGGGGCAGACACCCCGCAAGGCCCAGGTTAGGACAGTCCCCTGCCTTAATCCTTCCAACATCCTAATAACAATTTTCAAACGCCCTGGGAGTTTGCAAACATGGCAATACTTCTTGCCATTTGATGATCTAGAGGCGCCTCTCAGAACCCTGCTCAGGACCAAATCCCACAAGGGAACACCCCTCAGGCATGACACGAAACCCTCCTGAGCAAGGAAAGGGGCAAAGTCAGGCTCACAGAGTGACTATCATGTGGCTGACATCATTCGTCCTATTTGACAAAGATGGAAACTGAGACTCAGAGAAGCGAAGAGCCTGCCCAAAAGCCATGGATCTGAGCTCAGCAATGGTGACAGTGACAGGCAGCTTTCTCTGGCGTCCTGTGTGTGCCTCACTCTGTGATAAAAGACTTATGGCTATTAACTCATTTATCCCACAAAGACCTGGTGAGACACTTACTATTATCCCTATTTTATAGCTGAGAAAACTCCGCTTAACCGACACTAACACTGCTGCCCAAAGTCACAGGAATGCCAAGTAGCAGAGGGAGGACTTGAACCCAGGATGGTCTGAGTCCAAGGCCTCTGCTCTTAACCACCCCTGCCCCACAGTGCTACAGAGTTCCCTGGCCCTGCCTGCACCTCCCGGCCACGCAGCACGGGGAGCCCGGGCAGCCAGCCCTCTGTGGGCGTCATGGCTAAGCACCCAGGTTCCAGGAAGGCAACTCCAGGGTATAAATTTGGGCCTCAGCTCAGAGCTCAGGACAACACGCTGAGCCCTCAGCCAGCAGGCAGCCTCAGTCACACGGTGCCAGGTCACTCCGCCCCTGTGCTGGCCCAACTGCTGGCGTGGACATTTGGTTCTGGAACCCAGAAGGCATCGGGATTCAGACCCCAGTGGACCCCTGCTCCCGTGGCAGCCCCCCACGTGATGACATCCTGGCACTCCTGCTCGGCTCAGCTGGCCAGGGCTGCCCACCCGCCACAAACCGACCAGAGTCCCTCCCCTCGCTGTGGCCCACACGCTGTCCCATGACTCACTCCTGCCCCGCCACACACAGTCCCCACCCTTACCCTCTCTCTCCCTCTGCTCCCTTACACCCGGATGGAAGCCCAGGATCTGAGCTGCAGCTGGTTTCAATCCCAAAGCTTGTTCCAGTGGATTCTGGAAAATTCTTTTGTTTACTTATCACTGATGACGTGGCAGGGAGGCCACTGTCTAAGGCACAGAGGGGATTGACTCTCTCTGACGCGGCATCAGCAGAAGGTGCTTCTGAGAAGCAAGTGCATGCAAAGGAGGGATGGGAGCTCTCCTGGAGCACAGGGCAGCCACTGGACCAGGCCCTGCTCATCTTCATTAATCTTACAGCGACCCTCCGAGGTAGCTGATCTAGAGTTAGGAACAATTGCTGGGTTTTATCCCACCTTAGAGGTGAGCAAACAGAGCCCTGGACTGCACCAAAGCCACACAGGCTGCAGGGCCACCCTGCCCCATGCACCGGCTATGCAAGAAGCCCCACCTTGTAAGGAGGTCGTGAGGTCCACTTTACAATGACAGCCACAAAGAGGACCAGCCAACGACTGCTTTCGAGACACTTGCTCCAAAAGCCATTTTAAGTCACCCCCACCATCGCAGAGCTGCTCTCCGGCCCAGCTCCATCCCAGATACGCTGACTAGAAACCATTCCAGCCACTCTTTTTTTTTGAGACAGAGTCTCACTCTGTTGCCCGGGCTACAGTGCTGTGGCATCAGCCTAGCTCACAGCAACCTCAAACTCCTGGGCTCAAGCAATCCTCCTGCCTCAGCCTCCCAAGTAGCAGGGACTACAGGCATGCGCCACCATGTCCGGCTAATTTTTTCTATATATTTTTAGTTGGCCAATTAATTTCTATTTTTTAGTAGAGACGGGGTCTCGCTCTTGCTCAGGCTGGTCTTGAACTCCTGACCTCGAGCGATCCACCTGCCTCGGCCTCCCAGAGTGCTAGGATTACAGGCGTGAGCCATCGCATCTGGGCTCCAACCACTCTTGAGTGAGCTAAACCCAAGCTCTCCAACAACAGGCACGGGCTGAGGACACCAAGATTTCTACCTGGGAAACACTGGCCTTGGCACTGCAAAAGTCCACATGTCTGAAAGGGGTGAGAAGGCACTAGGGCCACTAATAGGAACGGGAATTGTGGGGTGGGATGGGGTGCCAGGTGCAAAGGCAGTCTGGAGCTGCAGGGCGTGGGGAGGGGTGAAGGCTAGGGCATTAGGCTGCCCGCAGAGGAGAGGCATCCCTGGGGCAGGGCAGGTGGTTCGGGGTGGAGCCTTAGCTCCTGGGACCAGGTGTGATTGGCTCAGGCTCTGGGAAGGCAGCCAATCAGAGGCTGCGAAGGGGAGGGCTCCCTGGAGGTTTTCAGGCAGGTCCTGAGGGGCACCCTGGCCAAGGGTGACAGCAGGCTGCTGGCAGTGTGGGAGGAGCCAGTCAGAGGGGACGGCTGGGCAGGGTGTCAGGGCACAGGTCACCTGGTCACAGGTCAGGGCACCTGGCTGGGACATTGAGTGCCACAGGCCACGGGTGGGATGTGGATAAGCCAATCAATGCAGCTGGTCGGTGCTGGTTTTTTATACCGTGAGTGTGACGGTGGGCTGTGAAATCAATTCAGGGGTCTTGATCGAAAGTGCTTTATAAGAAAACAGAGCAGAACAGAAAACATCACCGTGCCTCTCATGGACTAAGGATCAATACTGTTTTGTGAGACTTTTGCTTGTCTTATGGATGCGTTACATACGCATGAGTGCGGAATGTATTTCAAACTGAGAGTTGTAATTTAAACAACAAAAAACAAAAACAAACCCTTTGAGGAACAACAGGTTAGGTCAGCAGTTCTCACGCTTGAGAACTCAGAATCACCTGGAGGGCTCCTTAAAGCAGAGTTGGATCCCACTGAGTCTAGGGCGGGGCGGGGCTGTCTAGGGCGGGGCGGGGCTGAGGATGTGCATTCCGAATTAGTTTCCAGGTAACGTTGCTGCCGCTGGTCCCAGGATCTCACTTTGAGAACCACGGGGTCCCAGGACGTCTAAGGCTCCTGTGGGCTAGACTTGCCCCTTCCAGCTACGGGGCGTGTGTGTGCCTGGCACAGTGCTACACGGGCCCGGGGAGAGGGGGAGCTAGGTGTCACCAGCTTTGAGCCAAGGTGGGCCGAGATTAGAGGACTGAAAGCAGAGCCCAAAGAACTCCCGCCTTTCTTGCCTCAGCTGCGTCAGTCACTTCCGTTTCAGAACAGCAGAGCGGGCTTCCTCCCTTCGGAGGACAGAGTGAGGGGCTCCTGCCCGCTCCCCAAATTCCATGTATTCACTTCACGCAGCTTCGCTGGAGCTATCCCCAGTGGCGGCTTCTGTTCAATCAGCAGACCTGAGGGCATTCACCTGAGGACGGAACACAGTCCTCAGTGGCTCTGAGGGACCTGAGGGCCTTGGCTGCCCCCCACGCAGGCAGGGCACCCTAAACCACACGGCCACCTGTGCTCCAGCCTCTCCTCCTGAGGCCACCTCTGCCCCACAGACCCTGGACCTCCTAGACACACTGGAAGGCCCCGTGGTGTCCCCTCTGCACACACCAGGCGTCTCCTCCCTCCCCTTGGGTCCCCCCTTTGCCTACACCCCTCCCTCTAGGCTACCCGGCATCCCTGGAGGCTCAGCCTGCAGGACGCCTCCTCCCAGAAGCCTTTCTGGACTCTGATGATGCATCTTGCCCTGTGTAGATGTCAATCTCAGCCTAGGTCCCACTAGACTAGAAATCCCTCTCCCCTCATCTCCCTGCTCCGCACTGAGCTCGGTGCCTGCTCTGGGTGAACAGGAGTGAACGGGACTTCTCACACCTCACCCCCCAGGGCCAGCAGAGGCTCGTTTGGGACGAGGGGGCAGGGGCCAGGTGGGTGAGAACGAAGCCTGCATTCAAGGGGTACGCTGTCCCCCACCATCACCTATTTCAGCTCCATGTGCACAGGGCAGGGCAGAGGGAGGGCGTGCTGTGCACCCTCTGGAAGCCCGAGGAAGCCACCCTTCCCCAACCCCGACCCCACCCACACCCCCAAGTGCCCGCGGATGAAACTCCAAGGCCCTGGTCCCAGAGGAGAGTTCTCCATGTGGCCTGGGGAAGGCTGAACCCCGTTGCTGCACCAGCCCCCAGGCCAGGGGCTCCATGGTCTGCCGAGAAGATCTGGCCAGGTGAGGTGGGGCCGTCCAGCCCCTTGTCCCTGCACCCGCTGTCACCTTCCCCAGTGAGCCACCCAGCATCCTTCACAGCACGGTGGGAGCTGATAGGTGGCCCCTGTGCCGCCCCCTCCCGCCCTCTCTCCAACGTCTCCCTGGCCCTGGGAGTCAGAGGTGGGAGGTGACACAGGCCTCCCCCTCACCCGGTGCCTCCTGCCTTCTCCCAGCCACAGAGCGAACATCCCCAAGCCTGCTGGACCTGCCTGGCCAGCTGGCCCTCCCTTCCTGGGCCTCTGCCACCTGGAAGCAGCCACCTTCTCTTGGACTGTCCATGCTGCAGCCCTAGAGAGCAGGTCTCCTACAATGACACCTACAACGAGCATGCACACCTCGCCCTCCTCGGCCCTCCAGCCCCAGTGACACACGGACAGACCCTTTCAGAGCAGAGGTCTGGATGCACGACAATCTCAGACCCGGCTCCTGCCAACACGGACTTCAGAAATGACAGCTTTCTACCAGATGAAAATGTCCCTCCATTGAACAGCGCTATGCCAAAATACAAGATTTAAACTTCTTTGTTTACTTTTGTTACGCAAAGATTTTAAAACTTCCCATAGACGTTGTGGCCTCCAGAGAGATCTTCCTCAGACCCCGAAGCAAGAAACCCTGGCCTGGGGGATGAAGTCGGCACTTTTCAGGGACTGTGAAAAGGGGGCTCCTGCCTAACCCCACAGCCCTAACTCGACAGGTGGCCCTGCTGTCGGCTGCACCACACCGCCGATGTTTCTGGAAGCTTCCAGTCTGGATGCCACATTCCCAGGGAGTTCTGCCTGGGAAGTCCTTCCCCTCCCCTGCCCCACCCCTCCCCTCCACCCCTCCTCCTAGCAGACTCTTCCCTGTTCCCAGGACTCAGCTCCCAGCCCTTCAGGGCCACACCTTGTCGGCCTCCACTCCCCCGCAGGAACGACCTCTCCCTCCTTTGGGTCCCCGCAGGGCCCTGCGTGTGCTGCCATTTATGGCGTGTTTACTAAGCATTTTTCACATGGATTTTCCCATGTTCTCCTCCCAACAACCCTAGGAGGTAGGCACTATTACTGTTCCCATTTCTGAAGAAGAAAACCGAGGCTCATGGTGGCACGGCAAGGTTGGTGACAGGGCGAGAATGGGAAGCAGCAGTCCCGCCCCACCGTTGGTATTTTACTGTTCACATTTGTGGACACAGACTACAGGCACTCCCTGGGGGACGGCGAGGTCAGATTCACCTTATTGATTGATTGGCTGGAAATCAGGGTTGCCATTACTTTGTTTTTAACAGCTTTATTGCTGGTATAATTGATAAACAAGGAACTTCACAGTTTGATAAGTTTTGACATATACACCTATAAAACTGTCACCCCAATCAATATAATGAACATACCTATTACCCCCCAGTTCCCTGACCCTCTTTGTAAACCCTGCCTCCTGCCCACACCCTGTGACACTGATCTGCTTACTGTCACTATAGATTAGCTTGCATTTCCTAGAGTCTGTACATAAATGGCATGGAACCATACAGGACATACGGTTGACCCCCGAACAACTACACGGGTCCACTTACATGTGGATTTTCTACTGCCTCTGCCACCCCAAGACAGCAAGACCAAGCCTTCCTCTTCCTCGTCAGCCTATACAACATGCAGATAACAGAGATGAAGATCTTTTTGATGATCCACTTCCACTTAATTAATAGTAAATATATTTTCTCTTCCTTATGATTTTCTTAATAACATTTTCATTTCTGTAGCTTATTTTATTATAAGAATACAGTATATAATACATATAATAAAATATGTTAATTGACTATGTTATCAATGAGGCTTTTGGTCAACAGTAGGCTATTAGTAGTTAAGTTTTTGGGGAGTCAAAAGTTATGTGCGAATTGTCAACTGTGCAGGGCCTGGTTCTCTGAACCCCTGCATCGTTCAATGGTCAACCATACTCTTTTTGGGGGGCAGGGGGGCCAGCTTCTCTCATTCAGCATAGTTACTAAAATTCATCCATGTTATTGCCTGTATCGATGGCTTGTTCCTTTTCATTGCTGAGTAATATGCCACAGCATTCCTATGCCACAGATTGTTTATTCATTCATCCACTGATGGACAGTTTCTGGCTATTACAAATGCAGCTGCTGTGAACATTTTTGTGTGCACATAAGCTTTCGTTTCTCTTACATAAATACCTAGCAGTGGAATGACTGGATCATATGGTAAGTATATGTTTGTATTTTTAAGAAAATGCCCACTTATTTTCCAAAGTGGCTGTACCATATATGCCCACCAGCCATGTGTGAGTTCCAATTCCTACACATCCTCACTAAACTTTGTATGGTCAGCCTTTTTAATCTTAGTCCTTCTAATTGGTGTCTCACTGTGGTTCTAATTTGCAGTTCCAAGTGGTGAATCATCTTACTTATTTCTGTATTTGTCATCGAGGACACCCTAACTCAGCTTCCAGGCTCTGTGCGAAGCACTTCCCAGGCGTCTCTCCTTGGAGGTTCCTTAGTGTGCCCAGCACCAGGCCTGCTGGCTGAAGGCTAACGGAGTGAGCAGCTGAGTGACCGTGAGACACACAGCCAACAGGGACCTGCTCCAATCCCAAGGGCGCTGCCAGCCAGCTCCCTGACCTCAGGCAGCTCTCAGGACAAAAACTGGGCACCATGAACCAACAGCCAAGAGTGTGTAAAATCAGAAAAAGAAATGCAGTCACCCCTGGTGCATGAGGCTCTCTGAGCTCCCTAAGAGCATTTCCATGGGGCTTCTGTTCCATCTCCTGCAGATCCAGGTCCCTGGCATCAGGGTTGAAAGTCAACAACTTTTGAATTATGGGGACCTGGTTTCAGTCCAGCTCCTCTGAACTCTGAGCCTGTTGTCCTCATTCGAACAGAGACTGCCTGTGGGCACGGCCCTTGCCTGTTTGGATCACGATACCTGGGACAGACACAGACACACACGAAGTGCTCACAGGTATTTGTGAATGGAGAGAGAAGTCTGGAAACACAGATAAGAATCCCGGCCCCTGCTGATGCTTAGTAGATACTCAATAAGTGTTCAGTTTTTTTTTTCTTCTTCTTTCTAAGAAAGAAAGGTGGAGGCAGGATGAGCACCTCTCTGCCCTTCCCAGTCCTTGAGGTGCACGTGCTGCTGTTCAGGGGAACTGAGAAAGACGGGAGCCGGCGACAGTGGACATCAGCACAGACTCTGTCAACCCCCAAAGGCGAGGCTTCCTTCTGGCCACAAGTGGGGCTGGAACAGGCCCTGGAGTGGGATGAGGGGACACAGGTTCTGCTGTGGGCTCTGCCACCAGCTAGCTCCCAACCCCCAGTGTCCTCCTTGGTAAAATGGGAGCAACAGTTGCCGCTGACTTCCACCCCCTCTGAGGTGAGTGAGCTCTGAGGTGGAAGGTTGCTGCGAAGGGAAGGGGCACATTCCATTCACCTCGGAACTGTTTCTAACAGAGTCACTGTTAGTAAGAGAAATGTATGCTGCTGAGAAGCCCTCCACTGTCCAAATGTAAAGGACTATAATTACCATCTTTTGTTCTTGCAACCTAAAGGCTAATTGTACCATGTTACCACGTTACAACGTGTAACAGCCATGGGCTGTAATAACCAATTGCGGGTGGGCACAGCATGCTGGGGTAATGCTACATTGTTACAAGCTACAATTCCAGCCCCTATGACAATGGGAGACCTTAGTAAGAGCTACCCCCTGTGCCAGGTCATTTTCCAAAGCACTTTATAATGTTTTAGAAACAAATATCCTACCAGGTAGATGCTCTTAGTATCCCTGTATCACAGATAAGGAAACAAGGCACAGAGGCATTAAATAACTTTTGCAAAAGCACACAGAGCTGGGATTTAGACAATCTAGCTCCAGGGACTTCCCCCTCCACCACTAACCTGTACTTGTAGACAAGTGTGAGGACCTCCCCGGTCAGCATGTTATGGCTGGTTGGAGAGCCAAAGGTGTGAGCAAAGTATTCATAATAGCTGCTGCTGGGTGGCAGGTGAAATGGCTGCGAAGGCTTCTCCACAATGGCCTTACTCTGCAGCTCAACCTGAGGCTCTGGAGACATGGCCCAGAGCAAGTGTGTGCCACTCGGGCCAGGCCTGGGGCCCTATCAGCAAAGCCATGTGTTGCCATCCACCTGCTTGCACCTGCAGCTCGTGGTACACA